CTGGAGTGGATCAAATACAACATGGACTAACAGGAGAAAGTGTGAGCCTTGCTAGGTTGATACTGGGTGCTGATCAAGGTGACTAGTATCTGTTTTGTTATGTGTATTTTGCTGGGATTCAAAATGTTAATTCTGTTCCTTATGCAGCCCATCAGGCAACATCTTGCAAAACTGAGAATCCTTTGCTTGTGGCTCCATAAAATAGTAAAGATGATTCGTTTTCTTTTGTAAAGTTGCTTGAATCCCACAGCTATGGCACATGAGCAGGGTCATCAAAAGCTGTTTGATTTTTCTGGAAGCTGAAAAAAGAGAACCCAGAAACCTGGCATGCAAGCCAAGTTTTTTATTTTATTTTTCCTCTCTCTCTCTCTCAATGTGTGTGTGTGTGTGTGTGTGTGTGTGTAAATGGTAAACATCACTATTTGTCTTCTCTGCAAGGATTTAATTAGTAGAAAAAAGATATAGATATTAATCTTTAGCAAATCTGGTGTAGTTTGTGCTAAGAATACGTATTTTTGTGTTGCTCTGTAATGGAGAGAGGGGTATCACAGGATAGAACTTGGGTTTAGAACCCTTATAAGCCTGCTTTTTAAGCCAGCATGGCAGGCTAGTCAGTTACAAACTTAGCTATGGGTCCCTAAAACCAATATCGGATGAAATTTATCTGTCTTGCTTTGTGTTCTTAAGAGCTTAACTTTGTGACCCTATGGGAATACATTTTCTTGGTTTCTAACACCCGGAGGACAGAAAATTTGAGGTTCATGTCAGAGTTAGCCCTAAAAATTATTTTGATCAGTAAAGATCCTTTGCAAGCTTGAAATTTGTTGCTGAAGACTTTTTCTGGGACGAGCAGTAGAAACTGCTAATTGTGTAGCTCAGTTGCTAAGGCTTTGTCTTTAGACAATGGTGGCCCACAGTTAATTCTTGGCTTCTGGAATAATGTCTTTCTGGTTTGTTATTTACGTAACTTTGTCATTTATTAAGGGTTTGTTTTCCCCCATGGATAGCTTCTGATTTGCTGCTTTGGATTTTTCTTTCTCTAAACTATCCTTGGGGAGATTCTGAATCTTGTTAAAAAGAAGAAAATAGACACTGCTTACCATCACTTTGAGACACCTTAGGTGTCCATAGTTAAGTTATAACCTTAGTTAAAACCTATTAATTTTTCTGTGAAAAGTTACCTGTGGTAGAAATAAAAGACAAAAATATTGGCTGCGTTGGCTAGAGTCTGGTAATAGAAGATTTAAAAGGATTTTTAAAAAGAGCATTATGATTAAAAGTCAACTTAATTAAAAGTGGATAAACAAGCTATAGGCATATTTAAAAGGCCTTTATATTTTTCTCTTCCTAAGTTCTGTTTTCGTGGAAAAAAAACTGTTTTCTCCCCAGTTGACTAAATTATTATTCTCTATGTCGTCTTACCATTTTTAATGCAAATATAAGAGGCTCTAAGATAACGTCTGGTAGGCTGAGACTCCTTGGGAAAAACAGAGGAGGGATCGCAGGCCCTGCTTTGGATAAACAATAAAATGTTCTGTTTTTCTCATGAAACCCCATGAATTAAAAATATATACCTCTGAAAATCTAAGGCTCTGTTCTGTTTTGCACTATGTTCTCTGAAGGTTACACAGCATTGGCCAAATAGGCTTGGTTTAATAATACTTAAAGTTAATGTAATAACAGCAACTACTTCATAGATTTCTTGTGACAATTTAAATGAGGGAATATATATATGTACATATATATATATATATATATTCTCATTGTTCACAACCCACTTATGAGTTAGAACATGCCATGCCTGGTTTTATGTTCTTGTGTCACTTTGCTGAGAATGATGGTTTCCAGATTCATCCATGTCCCTGCAGAGGACATGAACTCATCCTTTTTATGGCTGTATAGTATTCCATGGTGTATTGTGCCACATTTTCTTTATCTAGTCCATCCATGATGGGCTTCTGCGTTGACTCCAAGTCTTTGCTATTGTAAACAGTGCCACAATGAACATACGTGTACATGTGTCTTTATAACAGAATAATTTATAATCCTTTGGGTATATATCCAGTAATAAGATTGCTGGGTCAAATGGTATTTTTATTTCTAGATCCTTGAGGAAATGCCACATTGTCTTCCACAGTGATTGCACTAATTTACACTCCCACCCACAGTGTAAAAGCATTCCTATTTCTCCACATTCTCTCCAGCATCTGAATTCTCTAGATTTTTTAATGATTGCCATTTTAACTGGCATGAGACAGGATTCTGGATATTAGCCCTTAGTCAGATGGGTAGCTTGCAAAAATTTTTTCTCATTCTGTTGGTTGCCCGTTCACTCTAATGATTGTTACTTTTGCTATGCAGAAACTCATAAGTTTAATTAGATCCCACTTGTCTATTTTAGCTTTTGTTGCCATTGCTTTTGCAAGGATGGAGTCCTTGCCTATGCCTATGTCCTAAATAGTACTGCCCAGGTTTTCTTCCAGGGTTTTTATGGTGTTAGGTCTTATGTTTAAATCTCTAATTCATCTGGACTTAATTATTGTATATGGTGTAAGAAATGGGTCCAGTTTCAGCTTTCTGGACATGGTTACCAGTTTTCCCAAAATCATTTATTAAACAGGGAATCCTTTCCCCATTGCTTATTTTTGTCAGGTTTGTCAAAGATCAGATGGTTATAGGTGTGTGGCATTACTTCCAAGGCCTCTGTTCTGTTCCATTGGTCTATATCTCTGTTTGGCACCAGTAGAATGCTGTTTTGATTACTGTAGACTTATAGTATAGTTCGAAGTCAGGTAGTGTGATTCCTCCAGCTTTTTTTTTTTTTTTTGCTTAAGAATGCCTTGGCTGTGTGGGCTCTTTTTTGGTTCCATATGAAGTTTAAGGTGGTTTTCTCCAGTTCTGTGAAGAAGGTCAGTGGTAGCTTGATGGGAATAGCATTGAATCTATAAATTACTTTGGGCAGTATGGCCATTTTCATGATATTGATTATTTCTAACCATGACCATGGAATGTTTTTCTATCTATTTGTGTCATCTCTTATTTCCTTGAGCAGTGGTTTGTAGTTCTTCTTGAAGAGTTCCTTCATGTCGTTTGTTATTTTTATTCCTAGGTATTTTTTTTATTCTCTTTGTAGCAATTGTGAATGGGAGTTCGCTCATGATTTGGCTTTCTGTTTGTCTGTTATTGGTGTATAGGAATGCTTGTGATTTTTGCATATTTATTTTGTATCCTGAGACTTTGCTGAAGTTGCTTATCAGCTTAAGGAGATTTTGGGCTGAGATGATGGGGGTCTTCTGAATATACAATCACGTCATTTGCCAATAGAGACAATTTGACTTCCTTTTTTCGTAATTTTTCTTCCTTGATTGCTCTGGCTAGAACCTCCAATACTATATTGAATAGGAATGGTGAGAGAGGACACACTTGTCTAGTGCTGGTTTTCAAAGGGAATGCTTCCAGTTTTTGTCCATTCAGTATGATATTGGCTGTGGCACAGGGAGGGAAACATCACACCCCAGGGTCTGTTGGGGGTTAGGGGACTAGGGCAGTGATAGCAGCGGTTGGGGAGGTTGGGGAGGGATAACATTAGAAATACCTAATGTGGGTGATGGGGGGATGGAGGCAGCAAACCACCACGGCATGTGTGTACCTATGTAACAATCCTGCAAGATCTGCACATGCACCTCAGAACTTAAAGTACAAAAAAATTAAAAAAATTTTAAATATATATATATATATATACATACAGATTGTGTTTGACTTACAATAACTCAATTTATGATTTTCAATTTTACAACAGTATAATACCATTTTGTTTTTTATTTTCAGTATGTCATTCAATAAGTTATATTCAGATATATTCAATACATTATAAAATACCCTTTGTATTATATGATTTAGCTCAACTATAGGCTAATGTAAACGTTTTGAGCAAAATATAAATACACAGACTGTATTGGTCCCTTTTCATACTGTTATAAAGAACTGCCCAAGACTGGGTAATTTATAAAAGGAAAGAGGTTAAATTGACTCATAATTCAGCATGACTGGGGAGGCCTCTCGAACCTTACAATCATGGCAGAAGGTGAAGAGGAAGCAAGGCACCTTTTCACAAGCCGGCAGGAAGGAGTAGTGCTGCTGAGTGAATGGAAAAATGGTCCCTTATTAAACCATTAGATCTCATGAGAACTCATTCACTATTATGAGAACAGCATGGGGGAAACTGCCACCATGATTCAATCACTTTCACCCGGTCTCTCCCATGACACCTGGGGATAATGGGAATTACAATTTAAGACGAGATTTGGCTGGAGACACAAAGCCTAACTATTTCACAGACTAAGCTAAGCTATGGTTTTCAGTAAGTTAGGTCTTTCAGATACATTTTTGACTGATGATATTTTCAATTTACAATTAGTTTATTTGAACATAACCTCATCATAAGAAAGGAGCATCTGTATATACTACACACACTCACATACACACACACACACACTTTGATAAAATGCTTAGCTCATGTAAATCTGCTAAATAAACATTGTCTTTTTTATTTTTAATTATTCCTGTTTGTTCCATCAAATTTTCCTCTTTTATCAATTAACTCTGCATCATTGTTTGTCTTCTACTGAATTTTACCACAGTCCATGTTGGTTCATAGTGGGCAAGCTACTTTCTTATATTAAGGCTGATAAAATCATCAGAGAACTCTTTGTGCACAATTGCTCAAATGTTAGACCTTTATGAAATTTTTCCAACTCTCTGACCACTTGTGTCCCTGTTAGATAGTGCATAGATACATGTGTTGCTGGAACTTAATGTGAAGTGGCTCCCCTCCAATTAACACTCTAGAAAAAAAAATGGCTGCAGCTCTCCAGCAAAACCTTTTCTCTGTGTCTGCTCCAGGCTTAATGGAAAAAAGGAATTTTATAAGTTTGCGCTGTCTTTGGCTGCATGCCACTCAAAAGCATTCATCCATTATTAAATTTAAAAATTGCTTCATGGTGCTCACTTCAGCAGAATATATACTGTAATTGGAATAATTTATAGAAGATTACCATGGCCTCTGTGCAAAAATGACACATTAATTCATGGATATATTCTATAAATTTGAAACACGTACTTCCACGTGTTATACTGAAAGTGAAAATGGTAAAACCCCATAAAAGGTAATCTAGTAATAGCTTCCAAAATTGCAAACGTGTTTACCGCTGGATTCAGCAATCTCAAGTTCAGAAATCTGTCCCTCAGATACACCGACACACAGATGAATCATTTATTTCCAAAGTTTTCGCCAGGTGTTGTTTTTAATTGTAAAATGTTAGGAAAATTTAAAAATCTATCAACATAAGATTGGTTAAATCAACCGTTTTATATTCATATAATGGAATAGAATACAGACCTACAAAAAGAATGCTCTCTATGTATTGTATAGAAAGATATCCAAATATACAGTATAATGTATACTGTTTAAGGGTATAGAACAGTGATATATCTTAACTTTTGAATAAGAAGTATGGTATGAGAATGCATAGTCCGTCTGTATTTGCATGAAAATAAACTGTTATGTACTGAATGTCTGTGCCTTCTAAAAATTCATATGTTGAGATCTAACTCTAGATGGTAACTGCAAATGGGGCCTTTGGGAGGTAATTAGATCATGAGAGAAGAGTCCTCATGAATGGGATTAGTGCCTTCATAAGAGGCCAGAGAGATATCTGGCTCTCCTTTCCCCATGGGAGGTTATAGTAGAAAGAAAAGTCAGCTGCCCACCACCTGGAATAGAGTCTTCATCAGTACCCAATTAGGCTGGGGCTCTGATCTTGAAATTTCAGCCTCCAAAACTATGAGAAATAAATATTTGTTGTTTAAGCCACCCAGTCTATGGTAATTTACTGTATCAGCCTGAAATAAGACGTTAACTAATAAAATATATTACCTACATCAAAGATAGAAAATGATGGCCAGCAGGCCTGTTGCTTGTATTTTTTTTCACAATCATGACTTCAATGCCTGTTTCTATAAAGCCATACCCGTTTGATTGCATATTGTCTATGGCTGCTTTTGCACTATAACAGCAAAACTGAATAACTGCAACAGAGAGCATATGACTTGAAAGCCTAATATATTTACTTCTTGCCCTTTATAGAAAGACTTTGCCAATACCTGAGCTATAATGTGGGGAGACTAGGTAGGAATACAGTGAAAGCAAGACTCTTTATGTAGACACTCTTTTATGTAATTTTTATTTTTGAAATTATAAAGTACTGCCTGTTTGTAAAATTAAAATCAAAACAAAATAAAGAAAAATCAAGTTTCAATCTTCTGTGTAGGAAACACTAATAAACTTAGAGCAGGGATTTGTTTGTGAGCTTACTGCAGTCCTACTTATTTTTTAAAAAAAATTTGTGAAATAAAAAATAACCAAGTAGATGGGCTGGAGCAAAATAGTGGAAGAGAAGCCTTCATTGTTCATCCCCCCCGATGGAACACCAACTATTAGCAACTATCTGCACACAGAACAGCACCATCACAAAAAACAAAAATCAAGTATCAGCTCAAACACAGTGAGGTAGAGCAGCAAGAATGCTCCCAGGGTTTCCAATTCTAAGATGTCACTCGAGAATGGCATTTCTTGACCTGCTCTGGGCCAAAGGGGAGCCCACTGCCCTAAAGGGTGAGTCCCAGGCCTGGAAGCATTCACCACAAAGTGTCAAAAGAACCCTTGAGCTTTAAATGAACATCTCTGGTGGCCTGGCAGAACCCCCCGAGGACCAGTGGCTGTGGTGGCCACAGGGAGAGGCACCTCTGCCTATGGTTATTGGAGGAAAGAGTGGGAAGGTCTTTGTATTGTGATTTGTACCAGCTTAGATGCAGTAGAATAAAATATTAGGTAAATTGTTAAGGATTTTGACTGCAAGACAGCATCTCTGGACATGCCTGGGTCCTCAGGAAACTTGCCAGCCTGAAGGAAACATTGTTGAGCAAGGCCCAGTGTTTTGATGGCTTCAGGTCTGACCCAGCAAAATCCCAGGGTGGTGGCTAAAAGTGTGCTCGCATTACCACACCCCCATTTTCAGGTAGGTCAGTAAAGAGGGAGATTTCACATTTTTGGGAGAAAGTAATGATAAAGGACAAGAGTCTCTGTCTAGTAATGCAGAGAATTCTTCAGTATCTTATCTAAAGTAATCAAGGAAGTTCTACAAGTCTGCAGAAACCACAGCATTTTTGAGCTTGGGGCCCAAGTTCCTTCAAATATTTGGAAACCCTTCCCGAGAAAGACTGGCGTCAAGAAGTCCAGATTATAAAGACTACGATAAATACCTAACTCTTCAATTTCAGGATATCGATGAACACTTACTGGCATCAATAAGGCCATTTCCATCCAGGAAAACATGACCCCACCAAATGAACTGAATAAGGCACCAAGGACCAATCCTAAACAGAGAGAAACGTGTGACCTTTCAGACAGAAAACAAACAAAAAACTATGTTGAGAAAATTCAAATAAATTGAATAGAACATAGAGAAGGAATTCCAAATTTTATCAGATAAATTTAACAAAGGGACTAAAATAGGTTTTAAAAACCAAGCAGAAATATTTTACTTAAAAATTGCAACTGACATACTGAAGAATGCATCAGAACGTCTTAGTAGCAGAATTAATCAAGCAGAAAAAGGAATTAGTGAGCTTGACAACAGGCTATTTGAAATACAGAGTCAAAAAAGACAAAAGAAAAAAACATGGAAGCATGCTTACAAGGTCTAGAAAATAGCCTCAAAATGTAAATGTAAGAGTTATTGAACTTAAAGATGAGGCAGAGAAAAAGATAGATGTAGAAAGATTATTGAAAGGCATAATATTAGAGGACTTTTCAAACCTAGAGAAAAATATTGACATTCAAGTACAAGACGGGTATAGAACACCAAGCAGATTTATCCCAAAGTAGGTTACCTGAAGACATTTAATAATCACATTCCGAAAAGTCAAATAAAGAAAGGATCTTAAAAGCGACATGAAAAAAGAAACAAATGACATACAATGGAGTTCCAATATATATAACAGCACACTTTTCAGTGGAAACTTTATAGGCCAAGAGAGAATAGCATGGCAAATTTAATGTACTAAAACACACACACACACACACACACACACACACACACGCCAGATGGGTGATTTGAAGAAGTTAATATGCCTGGCTCTCATGAAAAGGAACAGAAAGTGCGAGTAAACATGGCGACTTCAACTGAAACATCCAGGTACTAGCACTGGGACTAATCAAGGAAACAACTCCACCTACAGGTAACAGAGAAAAGCAAGGCAGGATGACGGCCCACCTGGGAGTAACACAGAACCAGGGGAACCTCCTCCATCCAGGGAAGTGGTGTCCGAATGTCCAACCCCTGGCAACTCAAACTTTTTCCACAGATCTTTGCAACCCTTCGGTCAGGAGACTTCCTCCTGAACTCACTCCACCAGGGCCTTCAGTCTGACTCAAAGAGCTACGATGAGTCTCAGAAAAGCACCCACCCAGGTAAGTGTGGAGATCTAAGGGCCTTATATACTCTGGCTTTCTAGGCTTCCTGACAAAAATAGCTGCAACTCTGGGCTAAGGGAAAAGTTAGATCCCCATACATACCCTAAGAAAGAGGCTGAATCCAGAGGGTTGAGCAGCAATGGTCTATGGTCCCTACTTCCATGGTGCCTTACAAAATAAGATCTACTGGCTTGGAATTCCAACCAGCCATGGGTAGCAGCCTTGTACCTCCCTGAGAAGGATCTCCTGTGGGGAAGGGTGAGCTGCCATCTCTGCTGTTTGGGTGACTTAGCTGCTACATCCTTCAAGCGTTGGGAGTTGAAATTGCCTGGGAACGGAAGGGATCCCCTAATACAGCACAGCTGCTGTACAAAAACATGGCCAGACTGATTCTTTAAGTGTGTCCCTGATCACATTCCTTCTCACTGGGTGGGACCTCAGAACTGGGGCCCCCAACCACTCACACTGGTGTCCTCTGGCTGACAGATATTTGAAAACTCCCTGGGACAGAGCTCCCAGAGGGAGGAGCAGGCTGAAATTTTTTTTTGCTGTTTGGGTGACTTAGTTGTTCTAGTCTTCAGGCTTGGAGAACCTGAGTGTGGGTGGAAGTGGTACCGCAGCACAGCACAGAGGTCCTACGAAAATGCGGCCAGACTGCTTTTCTAAGTGGGTCTCCAATCGTGTTCCTCCTCATGGAGCAAGGCCTCCCATCTGGGGTTTTCAACTATCTCCTACAGGTCTGTTCAGGCCAGAAACAGGCCTGTACTTCCCTGGGATGGAGCTCCCAAAGGAAGGGGCAAGCTGCCGTTTTTGCTGTTTCACAACCTTCAGGGGTGATGCCTCCCAGTACTGGAAAATCCAAAGTGAATAGGGACTAGAGCAGTCCCCGAGAATACTGCAGCAGCTCGATAGAAAAGTGGCTACACTGTTACATGGGTGCTTGATCCCATTTCTTTTCACTGGTCACATCCTTCAGGCCTGAGCATCCAGCCACCCTCCCCTCTTCCAGAGCTATGAACCAGTAGAAACTCAGCAACTCTGTGGACAGAACCTCCAGGGGCAACAGAAAGCCTCTGTGCCTCTGCCTCTGCAGTGGAACTGCCCTTGCTGTCCTTGAACTAACAGCAGAGCAAAGACTCCAAGTGCTTTATCCACACCATCAACGAGCTGCAGTTGACTCAAAGACAGGAGGCCAGTACATCTCCCACAAGTCCCACGTACTCATACTGCTTGTCAACAGACATGGAAACCCTGGCTTGGGCCCACAGCACAGACCCACCATCCTGGGCTGATTACACTGAGCAATGGCTAACTCACATCTCTCTGGGGGTGGAGCCCCCAGGAGATAGGCAAAGTGGTGGAATAGCAAGCCAGCTGATGTGGAGCCCAGAGGGTTCGGTGTAGCAGCATCTGTAGTGAAGCATGACTGGGGATAGTCATCCATCTAAGCTCAACTTGCTCTCATAAGACTCTTTAGCCCTAGGGAAATTGCTAGACCTGATCCCTACAGAGAAATCTTGCAAATCCGACAGGGCTGGTTTGACATGAGCACTCTTTGGTCTGCTGGCCTTTGCC